AAAGACAACATTTTTACAGAGCAAGCGCCTCCATCCGAGAATGCCTGCAACCATGGTTTCCGCACATGGCTGCCCTATGTGTGTCTAGTTATCCTGCAAGCGCTTCGCTTAAGCTGGCCAACCGTCACAAACGGGTAGATTACAAGTTACTGTGAGAACTTGAAGACCTGCGCCGCAAAGCGCCGGGGTCGCCGGGTCGTACTTTGACAATGGATTTGAGGAAACAGAATTGAGGCCCCCTCAACATGTTTCATTTCATTCGCATGGCTTCATTGAATGACATGAGGAGTCACTCCAATGATCGAAGTATCAACGAGGGCTTGCAAAAAGTCTTCTGTAGTTAAGTCCTTCACACTTTGAAAAGCTGTGAAGAGCATTCCAATCAGTGGCTCTTTCTTTCCGAGCATTCTAATCATTGGCTCTTTCTTTCTGCCACTCTGTGCTTCGCAGTATTGCTTTCGTCATCTGCCGCATTTGAAGAAGATTATGCCCAGTTCATGAGGTGCGGAAGTAAGCAATCTGCATTGGAGGTAAGCATATCCTTGAAAGCTGGCTTTCTTGTATACTCTTCGTTGGCCTGCAAGAGAAATTGCGCCTTTGAGACACATCGATCGATACATGAACGATGATCTATTCTTTCGAAAAGTGTTTCTTATGGAATTGGATGCCGACCCTCCAACGTTGGCTGGTATTGTCATGTACTTAAAGTGCAGCAGATTCGGGTTGTTTCTACCCGCAGTTTTCTTGCGGCAACTGGAACTGTTGTTCCCAAAATTGAGATATATAAGTGTTCCAGAAATTGACATACAGCCTGGCACGAACCGGTTGGAATCAGTTTGTGTGATTGTGGCTTGGCGTGGCTGTTCTTATTGATCCTCCCCTCCTTTCGATGCAAAGCGGGGTGGGCAGTGGCCCATCTGTTCAAAGCGCATAGCAAAGAAACGGGTTTTACTCTTCTTTCATCTGCAGGAAGGAGAGGAAGTTGCTTCACCTAACGAAAGCATCTGCAACATGACCAAGTGCGCTGCCACCAAGGAGGGCGACGGGGCAGCACGTGTTCAGTGCCGCGTCTGCCAGGCTTCGCTCCACGTGGAGTGCGTGAAGTCCCTGATGGCTGAACACTATGAAGGGGACCTGTACGGGGAGAGCTACTACTGTGACCGGCACTTCAACTGCGTGATGGACGTGTGCGTCCCGGACAGCCAAGGGCGCGGCCGCGGTGCGGCGACGCAGCATGGGTGCCAGGTCTGCAAGCGCCCTCTGCACAGCTTGTGCATGCGCGCCCTGGTGGGGGACGAGTTCGAGGGAGAGTTCCTTTTCTGCAACCTGCACCTGCCAGATAGTCTCAAGGCTAAGGTAAGCGCGATTCAAAAGTCTCCCAAATTGGACCCGACGACAGGCAGAGACAAGCTTTCAAGCGATCGAAGCTACTTGACGCAATCGTCGCAACGTTTTGTTTGTATTTGTAAACATTTGCAATCTCTGTTTGTCCCGACCTGCAATTTTTATTTTCACCTCCGTTTGATCAAGCGCACACACTCACCAGGAAGCCTCTTGTAAGGCCTTGCTAGGAAGTGAGAGGAGAAACTGGACGAGATGATATCGTTTAGTAGTAGCGAGGACTGACTGGAGTGGATTATCACGAGAGCAGACTTCCTATTGCGACGATACGTTTTCAACAAAGTTTTGTGTACGAAATCGTTTGCCATGTTTTCGAGTGAGCACTTTGACGCCCGTTCTGTCATGACAGGCGTTGCGCAATGAACTTCTTAAATCGGGTTCGCACGGAGCGTCATACCGAAATCTGTTTGGCTGTTCGGCCGGTCATGCCTTTCAAGTAAGCGCGAACTAGCATGGTGGGAATTATTGTGGGTTAAGGATAACCCAAGTTTTGCTTAGCTGATTAGAAATTGAAAAGCCTACGGCTAGGGAAGCTTCGTGCTAAGCTTGAACAGGGGCTTCCGATTCTGACCTGAAAGGTGCTCAGCACACGTGGTCTTTGTGTTCCGCGGCGGGTTGATTGTGCCACGTGTCTGGGTAAGACCGGGTTAGCGCAAGAAAGAGTTAAGAATAGTTTCAGGCCGTCGCCGCACGGCGCTGCCAATTCCAAAAAAATGCTCAAAAAGCGCCACCTTGTATTGTCAGGAGCCGAGCGCAAAAAGGAGCGTGCTGCAGTCTACAAGTCGAGGCCATGAGCAAAAGGAGAGCGTCATGTGGTCAAGAAGATTGACGAATCTCTGGTGCGAATCTTCCAGGTACCAACTCCTACTCTTCCCAAGGGCTCTACCCGCCCTTCCGACGTCATCGCAACAGAAGCTGGCAACCCCTCGCCAACCCGCCACCCGCCCTTGAAGATTGACAACTCTTCGCCACGTGACGTCAGCGGCGAGGGTGAAACTGGCCCACTCCTCAATCCCTCCGAGTGCAACGCAGCTTCCCTGAGTGCCCCTCCCCCGACGAATAGTGCCCCTCCCCCAGCGACAAACAGTGCCCCCGAAACCAACCCTGTGTCAACTAAGGTCGCCACCTCTCGAAACTTAGCAGCCCTCGACAGCCTTGCGACCATTGCTTGTGAGATCACTGCAAGAAAGTCTCTCTATGAGCCGGCTGACTTGGGCAAGCAACTTGTCAGCGGGCTCGGCGGCAAAGGCTTGGCGGGGCTCGTCTGGAAGAAAGTGGTCCAGGAAACGGAAGTGAAGTCCCCTGGTGGCGCGATTGAGAAGCATTCGGAAGCGGAGAAAGGGGTCCGAGCCAAAACTATTGAGCGAGAACAAACCGGACCAACAGAAAGAACGGGGAATTGTGAGATAGAACCGAAGACCGGAGGCGGGCGCAAGGACCGGGGCACCGTGCTCGACAGCGACAGCTCGGAGGAGAATCCCAAACGGGCAAGCGCAGCCAAGGGGGGCCGTTCGGAGGAGAACCACGAGGAGTCGCCCAAAGCCGAAGGGGACAGCGGCAGCCGGGCAGAAGCGCGCACCGGTGAAAGCGAACGTGACAAGAAGAAAACGGAGTCCAAGAAGGGGCGGAAAGCAAGTGGCGAGAAGAAGAACGGGAATCTTCAAGCGACGCCAGTAGTGTGACGGTTGGACAGGGTTCACACG